ACAACCTTATAATTAGGTCAACTACTTCTATCCTGACTTAAAACCTTTGCTCCACTCATTGCTCTTGGGGATTTAGAGTATTTAGAGGGAATTTTTCAATGACCAGTAGGCAATGTTTCCTTCACACTCTACAGCCAGCTCCAAATATCCCGTGACTTCTGACACCCGTCCCCATAACCCAAGTCTCCTACCTGAGTTTCTGGTTTTCTGACTATTATGCTCCCTGAATTTTCCTGTGCTTTCGAGCATAAAGAGAAGCTCCAGTCCTATGTGTGCCAGGTGAGTGGATCTAGGAAAACCATCGTGACATGCTAAGAACTCATAGTGCACTGGGCATGGTAGTACACCCCTGTAACCTCAGCACTCTGGGAGGCTGAGGCAAGAGGATCACAAATGTAAACCCAGCCTAGACAACTTAGCAAGACCTTGTCTCAAAATAAAAAAATTTAAACAACAAAAGTCTGGGATACAGCCCAATGCAAAGACCCTGAGTTCAAGCCACAGTCCAAGGGTGGGAGTACGGTTGGCGGGCGGCTCATGGTGCAACAGTTCCCAATCCCACAAGCTTGGTGGCTCACTTCTCTAATTCTAGCACTTGGGAGGCTGAGGCAGGAGGACAGCCATGAATTCAAGGCCAACATGGGCTACACGGTGAGCTCAAGGCCAGCCTGAAATGCATAGTGAGACCCTAATTCAAAAAAAAAAAAAAGAAAAAAAAAAACTCCCAATCCCAGTCTGCCATCACCAAACCAGCTGACATACAGATGAGTCCTTCCTTCGGCAGGGTGACTTACATCCACTAGATAGGCATCTACTATCTGTGCTATCTCCCTCCCAGCTGAATGAATGCCCAGCTGTCACCTCCCATTGTTTCCTACTAAGAGCCTAGGGTGACAGCTTCCTTTTGGGAGCCTAGCATCACCCCAAGGGTGCCACCCTGAACCCTGCCCGTGGCAGGTACGTAAGTAGGACCAAGAGAGTAGGGTGTCCTGCAGCACAGCCGCCTGGGTCCAGATGGAGAGACCGCCCCAGGGTGGGGTCAGGAAGAAGCCCCGAGGCAGAAGCTGCCCGAGGCACAGGCACAGGTCTGAGCTGGTAGGCTGAGCTAGAAACCAAGTGACGAAACAGAAACACACTCTTAGTAGGGATCCAACTCCTCAATGAACTTGGCATTCTTCCTTTTTTAAAAAAAATTCATCGCTCCAGTGCTTATTTTCCCTTGGATGTGTGTGAAACTTTTACTTTCTTCTCCTTCAGATCTTTTCCAGAGGTAATAAGTGAGGCGCAGGCTGATTCTGTGCATAGGTCATGAGCGACCAGATCATTCTCCTTAGACACACACACACACACACACCCCTCGTGTGGCAATAAGACACAGATAAGGAGCCACAGGAGTCACATGTTGTGACAGACACAGGACCCGTCTCTCAGAGCTTTGGTGGCACTATGAGGCCCATGTGCATATACCTGCCTTTTTTCCACCTGCCCATTTAAGAATCTACAGATTTGGGGCTGGGGATTTAGCTCGGCATAAGCACCTGCCTTGCAAGCATGTGGTGGAGAGTTTGATCCCTGGTACCGGTAAAAAAAAAAAAAAAGTGTAAAAAAAAAGAATCTACAGATTTTATTTTATTGTTTATTTGAGACAGGGTGTTGCTATGTAGCCATGCTGGCTGCAAACTCCCAGTCCTCCCGGCTCAGTCTCCAGGGTGCTGCGGTTACAGGTGTGCGCCTCACAAGCCTGCAGATTTTATTTAATGGGAGGCTCATCTCCACCTCCTCGTCCTCCTGACCCCTTTCCCCAACTCTTCCATCATGTTTTAACTACCCTAGGGACTAGTCCTCGCTAAACACATGATCTGTCACTGAGCTATACCTTCAGGCCCAAAGGCTGATCTCTTACTGGGAAATCAGATACCTGATTTTCATTTAAGTTTGATTTTCCACTAGTAACTGATGGTTATTCCTTGATTTTTCTATCCTCCCTTCTCCTCAATGCTCCAGAAGAGCATAGAGTATTTATTTAAGTAACCCTAAGCATGAATCTATGGTAAAGACTAGCAGGGCGTGCTGGCACACGCCTATAATCCCACCAATCAGGAGGCTGAGGCCAGAGGATCATTACAAATTCAAGACCAGCCTGGGATAGAAGTGAGCTCAAGGCCAGCCTGAACTGCACAGTGAGACCCTGTCTCTCTCTCTCTCTCTCTCTCTCTCTCTCTCTCTCTCTCTCTCTCTCACACACACACACACACACACACACACACACACACAAAAGCCTCTTTCTTTTTTTACTTTTGGTACCAGGTATCAAACTCACAACCTTATGCTTGCCAGGCAGGAGCTTATGCTGCTGAGCTAAATCCCTGGCCCTCTTTCCTTCTTTTCAACAGGCTCTTTATATGTATTTTGAAATGGCCCTCAACTCACTATGTACCCCAGGCTGGCCTTGACCTTGTGGTGATCCTCCTGCCTCAGCCTCCTGAGTGCTAGAATTATAGTATGCCAGGCAAGTGAAGACTACTTCTATAAAATGAGTAAGTCTTTCCAAAATTGCTTGCCTCAGAGAGGATTGGGATACATATTTTTTCTATAAATGGTCCTCACCACACATCCTATTTTCCTCTCATCTTTAATTTTTTTCATTGTCAAATAAGTTTTGCCACCTACACTACAATAAGGGAGACAATTTCTGCCCTGACAAACCAAAACTTATTTAAGGTTTTACAAATACAAGTATTACCAAAGAATTTGCATTATAAGGGAAGATGGGGATTCACAACAACTGACCAGAGTAGGGGACTCTGAGGACCCCACTCTGCCTGACTGCCTGGGTCAGGTTGCTCCTGAGAAGACAGCTGCTGGCAGCTCAGATGACCATGTTTTCAGAAACAAGAATTGGTGGCAGTAGGACATTTGACAAAGAGCCAGCAATGTCACCTGCAAAATCTCCCAAGAAATGGCCACAGAGTTGCTTGGGGCAGCCACTCCTGCCTTTTCCTCTCCACGACACCCATGGGACACATTAAATTGATTAAAGCAAATGTCCAAACAGCCCCTCAAACGGGTCCCTTCATAAACCCCTATCACCCTCACCTTTTAAAAAGAGACGTGTTAGCAGTAAATGAGCACCGCCCACTGACCACGAGCCAGTTATGGCCCTGTATCAAACTGGTCCTTTCCGGATTAAAAAGCAATTATTCCAAAAGAAGGCTTTATGGTTAAAATTAAACCACAGTCAAAAGCTATTAGGACCCGGACTTTGGACAGATGCCAAAGAGGGCATCTTCCCAAGGGAGCAGAAAGGGGACTTGGTTACAGAAATTTTCAACAAGCCAGCACATAAAAAATGAAGGAAAATGCTGAAACCTGTTCTACCATCCTCCTTCAGTTAGAAGGTACTTTTAACATTAGGAAAGCGAAACCAGCAGAGGGTGGGGTGCAAGCGCTGCCAGGTCACCCTGCCTCTGGAAAGTCACGGTGGCGCCGCCGACCTGCGGACGTGGAGCAGCCTGGCCGCGGGGACCCGCGGGGCGCTAGGACGTGGCGATGGGGCCCGGCACCCATGTGACCTTGGTCACCGGTTCCGCTCTCGAGATGACTTGGTGGCGTGGTCTGATTTGCGATTCCAAAGCTTGATCACGGGACAAGCGAGCAGCAAGGTCAACACTAGCACGCACCAGCGTCTGCGACAAAGCCCCCAGGCCGCTGAGCACAGGCTGCGTGGGGAAGCCCGGGAACGCCGCCCCCGGCCTGGCGGGGCCACCCGAGGCCAGCTCACCGCGCCCTCTGCTGGAGGCTGAGTGCACGCGGGGCCCGTCCGAGCGCGCCTGCAGGTCGTCTCCTCCCAGCCGAGCGTGCGACTGTCCTCTGCTGGACAAAAGGCTTTCCAGCTTGGCTAGCCTAGTGGTTAAACGACATAGGAAATTTCAATAAATTTGGAGGAGGCGCGCTGGTGGCGGCCGCGGTTTCCATATCTATAAAATGGGAGTGATGGGAGCCACGACAACACGACCAGCCGTGGCTTTCCTCGCGGGGTTACTCTCAGGAGCAAATGGCCGGAACCCTACAGCTTTACCTGTGCCTGCCTATCCTCGCCCCAGCCTACTTTAATTCACTTCCTTGAGGCAGGCTTTCTTCCGAGTGTCTTGAATTAGGAGCATAATGATAAAAAGTCATGAAAACAAAATAGCCTGCCATTCTAAGAGTGGCAGCACTTTTCTTGTAGCTTTAGTAACCTCCTTTTTTTTTTTTGGATGGTTTCTTATTTGAGGCTGACCTTAAATTCATTATGTAACTCAGGTTGGCATGGAACTCAGAATGATCCTCCTGCCTCAGCCTCCCAAGTCCTGAAATCATAGGTGTGTGTGCCTCCATGATGCCCGGCCCTCACGAATTTTTTTTCCAGCAATGTTTTAATTTTTTTTTTTGTCTTTTTTTTTTCGTTTTTATCGGTACCAGGGATCGAACTCACGACTGCCTGCTTGCAAGGCAGGCACTTATGCCGCTGAGCTAAATCCCCAGCCCCTCCACCCATTTTTTTAACACAATTTTCAAAACATTTTTTTGTTAAAACCACGTACCATAATCTGTTCAGTGTCTATATTCTCCAGTAGATTATAAGTCCCCTAAATGCAAGGACTCACCTGTTATTGTCACTCTTGTGTCCCCAGGACACCTAGCATGGTGCTTACTGTACAGTAAGTGGTCAATAAATAGCCACTGAATAAACACGGGGATGAATCATAAGAACTGCCACCGCGGTCCACCAGGAACAGAAAGAACAAGGCTGGACATGGAGGAAAACCCTATTCTAGGAACAATACTGCAAAGTAATATGGAAAATGAAAGGGCAGAACTGATGAAAAAGTTTTAAAACTAGAGGTGGTGCTTGCACGACACTGCGAATGCACAGAATGCCACCAAAATATGACCTTAGGGTGGTGAATCATATGCTACGTGAATTTCGCCTCAATAATAAAGAAAAGGAAAGGGCATAATTGCAATATAACAATTATAATCCTTGATGATTGAGACACTCTACAAATATTTGAGGAAATCAACATAAAGACAGTAACTTGTATGCAGTGCGTGATAGTTTACACAAATGCTTTTCACATCAATGCTTTTGTTGGTTCCTCGCCCCAAGCCCTGGGCCATGCACACAGGGAAAGTGGTTTCCCAGCCCCACTGGCCAGGGCCAGGGCAGTCCCCACTCCAGGCTGGGCTCTTGCTCCTCCTCCCTGCCTGCAAACCTCTGCTCCTCAGCAGAAAGGCCATCCCTCCAGGCGCTCACCTTCCTGCTTCCCTCTTTCACCCTTACCCTGCTTGATTTTTCTTCCAAATTCTCAGAATATTTTACACATTGACTCTCTGTGTGAGTTTCTTTCCATGATAATGTAAGCTCCAAGATAACAGGGTCCATTTTGTTCTCTGGTAGGATCCTGGCATCTGGAATGGTTCCTGAGAAAGGATAGGTACTTAATAAATATTTGTTAAGTGAATGAATAAATAGTAGAACTTTGCCATGAATTTGGCCACATCTTCTGGGGGAGGGGGAGCCTATGTTTTATAGGAAACATCCCAAAAAGGAAAGAGTGCCGGGAAAGGAGCAGGCGCTGCCTGGCTTGGCATTGTCCCCACACAGGTTTTCTTGTCCCCAGCTCAGTAGCCTCTCAACAGCCTATGTTAAGCACCTGTACACAACAGCATGAAATTATGCTAGGGGAAGAGAGGAACTGGCACTTCACATGTCCAGGTCTCATCCTAAGTGTGCTTCTAGGGCACAAGGCGTCGCTAAGGTGAGCAAAGGGAAGGTGACAGGCAGGGGTCAGAATCCAGGGAGCGGCTGAGTGTGACCTTGCAAGATCCACATCACCTGGGCAGAAATGGCTCCCAGGACCAAAGTGATCTACAAAGCGATCTGCAGAGTGATTACTTCTCATTCCCAGGAGAAAGCTTTCAAGGCTGGCCTCTCACAAGTGGGGGCGGTGTGCTATGGTCTGACAGGAGGGACAATGAGTGTCTGTGACCCAGTGACCACCCTAGAATTGTGCCCAGTAGACTTTGACAATTTTGTGGCCAGGAGCAGCAGCTCATCTGCCCCCACTTCCTGAATCAGCAGCCAAGCCTGATGGGAAGTTGTTGGTGTGAGACAAAGGACACAGACCTTTGACTTCGAGAGGCAAACGGTCATAGCGCTGGGGTGAGCTGGGTTTCCTGCACCTGTCATCTGAGGGCAGTCTACAGACTGCGAGTAAACTCTCAAAAGCAAAAGGTGGTCATTTGTCCAATCTGATGGTGGCCATGGGGCATCATTGTTGCCTTTTAAAGTATTTTATTATTTTTTGTCTTTTAAAATATTTAATAACAAAAATTTCAAATTTTGAGAAATACCCGTTTACTAGCCTGGGACTTACATTTTAACTTAATGGTACAGAAACGTCGTTTTCTTTTTCTTTTTCTTTTTTTTTTTTTTTTTACCCCTTCCTCCTCTGGTTTTTTGACACAGGGTCTCACCATGCAGTCCAGGCTGGCCTTGATCTCACTAGCCCTGGCTGGCCTGAACTCAGTGACCCACCTGTCCCAGCATCCTAAGTGCTGGGATTACAGGCGTGTGCCACTACGCCCAGCTAAATCATAAAACTAAAATTTTTCTAGAACTAAATATCTGTAGAAAATTGCAAGCTATAGAAGATGTGGTTCATGGGGCTGGGAGTATAGCTCAGCGGTGTAAGCGCCTGCCTGCAAGTGCGAGGTTGTGAGCTCGATCCCCATACAAAAAAAAAAAAAAGATGTGGTTCAGCCCTGCACACAGGTTTTCCCCTGACCCTTCCTTATAACTCATTCAAAACACACAGCTCAAAATCCAAGCAAATGATCCATTACAATAGAAAGTAAAAGGAAAAAATAACCCTCCAGTATAATTTGCATACAAGTGATAGGCCATTACTTCTGCCAGTTGCCACAGTGCTGTTTATATTGTGTTTTAATCTCTGCAGGTTTCAGGAACTAGTATCCTTTACCTTTGTCCTGCAGTAATGGTACATAACCCTTCTCCCCATGGGCACTCAGGCATGGGTGGGTATTGAGTTTTTCTCAATTCCCACACCATGCAGTATTAAAACAAACAAACCAAGACCATGGTTGTTTCTCTCTTATATTCCCTAAGACTTAAAAAAATGGTATTTAGCCATCCATGGAGGCCAAGGCTTGACATGCATTCCAGTACAACCTGGAGTGTAACCAAGCTGAGTGGCACTTTTTCTGTACCATTAAATTAAAACTGAATCCCAGGCTGGCAAACAAGTATTTACAGAACAGCACAATAAAAACCCTGCAGAGGTCAGCAGGGTTCCCAGGCAGGCTGGCTGTGCCCTCCCCAGGGAGCACAGCCCTGCTACAGGAAACTCAGCAGCCCTGCATCTGGTAATAATCTGATAATCCTGTCTCTTGCTGCCCTGAACACCCACCCACAGGAAATCAGCTGCCCCCAGGTGATCCCATTTTTTAGCTTAGTAACTCATCTGCGTGAAACGCAGATCTGATGGTGTCATTCTCCCTGTCACCTACAGAACAAAATCTAACTTCTTCCAGATTTGGGTATTAAGTGCCAGATCTTTTTTTGTTCCCTTTTTGTTTCTGTGTTCTATTTTGTTTTGTTTTGGTTTTTTCTTGAGATGGTCTTGCTGTGCAGTTCAGGTTGGCTTTGAACTCACCATGTAACCTAGGCTGGCCTCTAACTTGCAGTGATCCTCCTGCCTCAGCCTCCCTAGTGTTGGAATTATAGGCGTGCACCACCACACTCAGCTTAATCTATCTTGTTTAATCAAGGCCCTCCTCAGGCTCACATCCTGCCAGTCTCTAACACATCTCTGCAATGTTCTTTGCTCTCCTTGTCTTTTCCTAACAAGCAGTGCAGTTTCCTGTCACTGCACTTTGGCAACACGGTTCTTTCTGCTTTGCACCGTTGTCCTCCACATTCACCTCCCTTTTCTCTTGTCCTTTTGCCGAGGAGGGAACCCAGGGCCCTGTACATGCTCTACCTCCCACCTACATCCCCAGCTCCACATTCACCTGCTGAACTCTTCAATACCTCCCGACTTCGTGCGCAGGATACTTCTCTGCAGTCCTTCCCGTGCAGCCCAGGCTGGCCTCAAAGCCCTGATCCTCCGAGCCTGGCTGCCTGAGTGCTACAGTTATAGGCAGGCTGTGTTACGCCCCACTCCTGTCCTCACCATTTTAAAGTCAGTCTAAACATGCTCATCTCCACCACGAAGCCTTCTCTGGTGTCCCCCTACCCGCCCCCAGGGACTGGCACTGACTTCTGCAGTTTCCACCACGTTTAGTGCGCTGTGCTCTTCTGTCCTGTCTCACAGCGTCTTGGGAGTCCCCTTGCTGAAGTGCCCATCTCACAGGAGAAAGGGGCCAGCCATTTTTTTTGTATTCTCAGCTGACATGCAATAAGCGCTCAGTGTTGAAGGAATGAATAAGGGCATTATAACAAAAAATAATGTCACTTTTAACATATCCCATTCCAAGAAACAGGGGATCTCTGGGAATATACAAAGAAAAGAACAGGATAAAATACATAAAATCACTCAGATTTTCACCTCCCAAATGTGCGCATTTTTGTTAATTTTAGCAGAAGAGGATATGGTTCGTACACATAAACTCCAGCTGCCTACACAGTCTCTAACACCTGCACTTACAAAGTGGCTGGCCTTTGTCATGGTGTCTCTGTCTTCATTTGTCCATCTGTGGCCTGGGTGGAATGTGTCTTGATATCCCAGGTGAAAATGTCATCCAGAAATCTGGTTATTGGGATCATAATTAGTACACTGTACAGTGCAACCCAGGGGACTTTCACATAACGGAAATTCCCCAAGCATTAACCTTGTGCCACGCAGGCCTCTCATATAAGAGCTGATAATTCCGTAGCTTGCAGAGTCACTAGAAGAGGCTGGGTGTGATGGTCTCAGGAAGGCACAGATCTGCAAAAGAACAATCATTGGTTCTTTCTTTTTTTTTTTTTTTTTTTTTTGCATTTAGATTCCTAAAAACTTGCCACAGAAGTGCTTTTTCTGCAGCATACACTGAATGAATGGAAGGGTTGTTCCTCAGCTTCATCCCCACCCCCAGGCAGCACTGAGAGCTTGCTCTGGCAGCCAGGAGACTGAGTTTAGGGAGATCTACAAGAAATAGAAGAGCAGAGTGGCTTTCGGTGGTGTTTGGGGTCAGGCTTTCTGGGCTGGCGCCTGGCACTGGCTGTTTCTAGTTTGGTAGACTTGATAGAGAAGTTGCTCTGGAAAAGCGTTGCAGGAAAGATTACACACGGCAGGGCAGTGCACAGCACTGAGCGTGGTGCCAATTGCATCACCCTCATTGTAACAAGAACTCAGGAAATGTTAGCTCTCGTAATCACTTGTCAAAGCGAGCCTGCTCTCAGTTTGGAGCTTATGTTTACAGCTCTGCCTGTTCCCAAAAGCTCTACCTTGATCTCCCTGGGATCAGAGTCCCCTGGAAATGCAAAAAAAGAGCAAGCTATCAGCTTCTGATCAAAGAAGCAGCAGAAATAGCAAAGACAGGGAAAAGAAAACAGGCCATGTCCACAGAACGCCCGGCTGTGCAAGCAGCTACAGCATAAAAATAGATCTGCCAGTTTAAGGGAGGGAGAAAGGAGGGAAAAGGGATACTGAAAGAACTAAGCTATGCTGTGTTCAGGCACCAGCTCTGCATGATGCAATTGTGGGTTTTTTTTTTTTTTTTTTTTTTTGTCTTTTTCGTTTTTATCGGTACCAGGGATCGAACTCATGGCTGCCTGCTTGCAAGGCAGGCGCTTATGCTGCTGAGCTAAATCCCCAGCCCCTTGCATGATGTAATTGTTATGTGTGGTAAACATATACTAAGGAAAATTAAAAATAGTTTTCCTTTTTTTTTTTGGTACTCACGACTCATGCTTGCCAGGCAAGCACTGAGTTATATCCCCAGCCCTAAAATTTTTAAAAAAGAAAGCCAAGCACACCTTCAAATTGCTAGGGCAAAATATGTGCTGAGACAGACCTCAAGTTTATAAGGGTTTTCTGTTGTTTGTTTGTTTTGGTACCAGGGATCAAACTCACAAACTCATGCTTGCCAGGCAGGTGCTGTGCTGCTGAGCTAAATCCTCCACCCCCAGACCTCAAGTTTAAATACAAGGTACAGATATTCTCAGACTTTTGGGTCTTCAAAAAAAATGTGAGCTATTTGCAGAAACCAGACAAATGATTATAGTGATTTCTCAGTAGATATTAAATGGTCCTGAGGCTGAGAACGCCACTGAAGGTGATAGGTAGATTCGTTTTGTGAACACACACTGAAGGCTCACTCTGTTCTGCATATTCACAGGCCGGCGCAGGTCTCTGCACAAACACAAGGCTCTCTCAGAGCTGACATTCTCTCGGAGACAGACATAACCAACAGCCACCAGAGGACATTCTAAGTCACAGTGTGAAGATACAATAGAGAGAGAAACCAGGGTCTAGGTCCCAAACTCATTTTAAAAACGATAGGAAATTAAGGCAAAAGTGGTGGGGCACACCTGACATCCCAGCACTGGGGAGACTGAGGCAAGGAGGATCATTGGGAGTTTGAGACCAGCCTGGGCTACAAAATGAGCTCAAGGCCAGCCTGAACAGCATAGGGAGCCCCTGTCTCAAACAGATAAAAATAAAAAAATTAAAACTATAGGAATGACAGCGCATAGAAGACAGAATCACATGACCCCCTCAGGATATATCAGATAAATCCAGAAGCTCAGGCATCTATAAGAAACCTAGGCTGAATTCCTAAAAATGTCAAAGTTGTTAAAAACAAAACAAGGAAACTCATAAAGTAAGAAGAATTAACAAAGGCTGGGCGTATAGCTTAGGGATAGATCATGTGCTTAGCATGTGCAAGACCTTGAGTTTCCACCTCCAGCATCAAAAAACCAAAAAAACAAAAACAGTTAACAATCAAGAGCTGGGGGTGAGGCCCTAGAGGGTCTAGACCAAAAACAAAAATTAGTAATTGTATTCAGCAAATAAGCACTGATTAGATCCTAGGCTAGGGGAGAAAGAAATGATAAAAGGTATTTTGAGGATGAGGAAGGATAAATATAAATTGACGCATGCCTGTAAGCCCAGCACTCAGGAACCTGAGGCAGGAGGAACTTGGTGAGTTTGAGGCCAGCCTGAGGTACCTAAGCAAGTTCAAGGCCAGTGTATACTACATAGCAAGACTCTGTCTCAAAAAAAATAATACATATGTGTATATATATGGAATATTTGATATTAGGGGATTATTTTTAATTTTTAAACTTGTTAAATTAAAAACTTTTTTTTTTTTTTTTTTTTTTTACGGTACCAGGGATTTAACTCATGACCACACGCTTGCAAGGCAGGCGCTTATGCTACTGAGCTAAATCTCCAGCCCCTAAACTTTAAGCTTTCGTAGCAAGCCCCTACTACATATCCTACTTCTGGATATGTAGGAAATTTTATTCCTAGGCAATCTGTGCTTAAATGTATAAAAATAAAGGAAATACTGCACACTGTTATCAACTATTGAATCTAGGAAAAGAATATTCGGTTGCTCATGTGCTCTAATGTTTCCCGTTTTCTGTGTAAATTAAAACATTTAAGACAGGCATGCTTACACACACCTGTAATTCTAACACTCTGGAAAGCTGAGGCAGGAGGATCATAAATTTGAGACCTGTCTGTACAATTCAGCAATTTAGTGAGAGTCAGTCTCAAAAATAATATTTTAAAAGGACTGGGGATGTAGCTCAATGCAAAGAAAAGGCCCTGGGTTCGATTTCTAGTACCTCAAAATTAATTAATTAAAAAGAAATTAATTAGGGCTGGGGATTTACCTCAGCAGCATAAACTCCTGCTTGGCAAGTGCAAGGCTGAGTTTGATCCCCAGTACAAAAAATAATAATAATAAAAATTAAAATAAAAAATAAATATAAAAAATTAATTAATTTAAAAACAAAGGATGAGTACAGTGGTGAATACTCGTAATCCCAAAAATCAGGAGGCTAACACAGGAGGATCAAGAGTTCCAGGCCAGCTGGGCATGGTGGCACATGCCTGTAATCCTAGTGCTAGCAGGAGGATTGCCACAAATTTGAGACCAGCCTGGGCTATAAAGTGAGTTTAAGGCCAGTCTGAACTGCATAGTAAGACCCTATCTCAAAAAGCAAAACAAAACAAAACAAAAAGCCAAAGAGTTCTGGGTCAGTTTGAGCTACACATTGAGACCTTATCTCAAAAAAAGAAAAACACCACCAAAAAACGTACACCAAAGAGAAAAAGTGGTAACATATTCCTTTAGTCCTAGTGACTGCTTTAGCCACCCCTGATGACTCTTGTCAAGATACACTTAAGTCTTTCTTTGGCAGGGTTGGGGTGGCATGGGGATTGAACCCAGGGTCTCAAGAATGTTATTCCTGCACTTTACCACTGAGTTATAGCTTGTGCAATACTGAAGTCGTGACAATAGAAACTCAAGGGTCTTCTGTCTTCTTTAGGATGAGGATAACAGGTGGATGACATACAAAGACATACAAGAGACCCCTACGGAGACAGAGAAGCTGTGGAACAGTCCATGTGCTTATTAGGTGAATAATTAAAAGGTCAAAGAGGAAAACAGTATAGGTACTAATAACCAAGGCCGACTGAATCAAGGATGGGCAATATGGAGCCCACTAATTATTCTGGACACAGTTGGCTTGCTGAGAGATCAGAGACATGGGCATGGCCCATATGAAACCCTGCAGGAAGCTGCATGGGAGGGGAGCGTACAGAACTAGTGGGGAGGACGGTGGGTGGGGGCCTTTAAAAATCAGCCAACTAGCCAGATGTGATCAACACCTGTAGTCCCAGCACTCTGGGAGGCTGAAGCAAGAGGATCACAAATTCAAGCCCAGTCTGGACAACACAGTGACTTAGCAAGGTCTCTAGAGTTTAAAAAAATTTTAAAAGGGCTGTGAACATAACTCAGGATGAGGGGTTTAGATTCAATCCCCAGTACCACAAGAACAAAACAAAACATACAAACCAAAAACTAAAACCGAACAAACAAAAAACCCCAGCAAACATAATCATCTTTATGGAATGTGACTTACTTTTCTTCCCACCTCTTAATGTGCTTGGTTCCTCTCCTCGTCACTCTGAAGCCCCTCATTTTTCAGGAGCTGCTTTCAGAAGTATCACTCACTTCCGCCGGCTTCATCTTCTCCGCCCAGTATCTCTCCTTTGCCCTGCTCTCTTCCTGCTGGGTACTCCTGCTGGACATCCTTCTCCACCAGGTACACCCAGTCATGTTCTTCTAGCCCATCTCAAGTTCATTTCTCAGTTTTTCAAGAACTTAGTATCCGATTTTTCTTTACCCATTATCACCCACTCTTGTCTTTTCAAAATGCTCCCATTTCTCTCTCCACCACTCTTCTTGGCCCAGTAACTCTGTCTCGATTCCCACTCTTCTCTCCTAGGACTCTGCTCTCCTCTCTCATTTCTACTCCTCCAGCATCCATAATGTGGTGATTGACTGTAACTCTTCCTCTTTTACTTTCAATACTCTCTCAGCTTCAGTCCTCCAACTGCCTCATTCACTGACCTCTTCTAGTTCCTCTATTTCCTCTATCATACCTTTCTTGCCCACAAAAGCTGATTCACCAGCATCATCTTCTTCTTCCTCTTCAGGCAAGATGTCCTCATCGGATTCCGCCTTTTCTTCAATCTCTTTCAGCTTCTCATTTATCTCTTCCACACTTTCAAAAGGAATTTCCATCTCCTCATTGGTAACTTCAATCACTCTTTCGTCACTAGTAGCCTCTTGTATTTTTTCAATGTTCTCTTCACTTACGCTTTCCATTTTTGAACCTTCCTTCAAATTCTCCCCGCTGGATTCCTGCTCCTCCATAGCTAATGTCATTTGATCACCAGTTCTCAAATTTTCTTTATTGAGCCTTAGTTTCTCTCGCATCTTTGACTTCTCTGCACTGGATTTCCGCCTGTCTCCCCTTAATACCGGCTTATCAAAAGTGGACCCCCGCCTCTCTGTCCTGAATAACGGCGGCTTATCAAAAGTAGATCCTCGCCTCTCTGTCCTGAATATCGGCGGCTTATCAAAAGTGGACCCCCGCCTCTCTGCCCTGAATACTGGCTTCTCTGCAACTGACCCCTGCTTCTCAAAAGTGGACCCCCGCCTCTCTGCCCTGAATATGGGCTTCTCAAAAGTGGACCCCCGTCTCTCAGCCCTGAATATGGGCTTCTCAAGAGTGGACCCTCGCCTCTCTGCCCTGAACATAGGCTTCTCTATGATGGACCTACGCCTCTCTCTAATGGGCCGCTTCTCTCCAGCGGGCTTCCGCTTCTCTCTTCTGGACTCCAGACTTTCTCCACTCGACCTCAGCTCCTCATCCTGATCCCCTCTGGATCTTACATCCTCTCCACTGGCCTCCAACTTGTCTTCTGGAGACCCCAACCTTTCTTCAGATGTGGACTCCCTCCTGGACTCTGCTGTCATCTCCAACCTCTCTTCAGACAAAGACTCCCTCCTAGACTCTGCTGCCACCTCTGACCTCTCTTCAGATGAAGATCCCCTCCTGGACTCTGCTGTCACCTCCAACCTCTCTTCAGATGCGGACCCCCTCCTGGATTCTACTGTCAGGTCCGACTTCTCTTCAGACACAGATTCCCTCTTAGATTCTTCTATCACCTCCCCACCAGCTTCAGCCCCGGTTTCCTCTCTCTCTTCTTGCTTTTCCCCAGTCTCTCTCAGTTGGTCTTTCCCCGTGTCTGCAGAAGTCTGTGATGCACTTGCTATGCTGGGCAGGCCCTTCTCATCCATCTCTTCCTGCCTAAGTTCTGACCTCTCTTCAGACGCAGATCCCCTCCTCACCTCCACTGTCATCCCTGGCCTTTCTTGGGACACGGATTCTCTCCTAGACTCTGCTATCATCTCCGCACTAGGTTCAGCCCCTGTTTTCCCTTCGGCCTCCTCTCCTGGAGCACCTTTCCTGAGGTGTGCCAAAGTCCGTGACAGGCTTGCCAAGCTCTGCGGATCTTTCATGTCCATCTCCTCCAGACTCACTTCTGGTTTCTCTTTGGACACCATCTTTCCCACGTCCTCTGATCTCCAGTACTCAGCCTCAAACCTCGGGTCTCCCATTCTAGGCCTTGGCGTGTTTCTTCCCAGGAGCTCTATCCTCTTCCCAATTACAATGAGCCCATTCCAGGGCATCCATAGTTTCTCCTTCTCTCGCTGAACCTGCGCCCCCTGGCAAGGCGGCTCTGGCGGGCAACGCTTGTGGGGGGCGGTGGCGCGGCCCGGGGAGCCCTGGCCGCGGGCCTTGCTGCGCCCCTTCGGCCCCTTAAACGGCTTACCCCGGAGCTCCCGCGCAGCCCAGACTGGAAACTTCAACGGCACCCCTGCCGCCAAATAAAGTGCCGTCTGCCCTCGCCCCCAACCCGACAAACCCATTCCCGCTCCCCATTCCCCCAACCCCGCCACCCCCCTCCCTCCCACCCTCGACCACCCCCTGCTGGTTGCCACCCCGCCCACCGCTTGGAGGGTGGGAGGCGGTCTTAGTGCGCAAGCGCGCCCGACCGCGCGTGGCCGTTCAGAGGCGGAGTCCTGAGCATCTGCGTCAGTGTACCCACCAGCAGGGAGAGGTCCGGCGAAGCACGACACATGATCTGATGATCCTAAAACCGGGACCACAGACCCCACATCTTCCCGTATCCCTGGTTAGTTTTTGTTGCGCTCTCCTTTATAACCTGGACCTGGACACAGGAACAAACAGGCGTTTCAGCCAATAGTATTACGCAGGGTAGACCTAGTAGCCAATCAGAAGGCGCAGCTGCAGAGGCCTGGGTGGGAACTACCCCAACTCTTGGTGGCTCCCTAGTAGGGAGGGGGAGAGTTGATAAAGATTGTGTGGGTAGTGGCCACTAGCGCGCGACCTTCTGTGCTGTATCACAGAAGCGTGATGGAGGAGCACCAGGAGACTGGGAAGGAGAGTAAGGTAATGCAAGGAAAGGGATGCAAAACCCCTTCCAACCCCCATCTCACTTCAGAATAGTCACTGATTGGGTATAGGTAGCCACTTTGAAGGCAATAAGATTTTACTATGATGCCCATTATGGTTTGACTATTATCTTCTTTTGAAGTCCTGTAAAGTCTCCAGTGTAGGTTTTATTGGTCTTGTTCTGTACTGTTTTTGATCAATTCTATTATACCTGATGATATAGGCAACTCTTTTTAAAAATAGCAAGAGGCACAATAGTAAACCATTTTTGATCACCTGATATTCTGTTTTTGCATCATGTACTATGACCATCCTTCTGTTCTAACCGACTCTGTTTTGTTTAGTCATGTTAGGTTTTAGTCTCTTCAAAAAAAGTAATAAGAACTGTGGGAGTAAAAAAACCCAAAAAGTGTAATTGTTATTGTAAAAAAGAGAGGAAAGGAAGGTGGTCTAAGGGATATAACTGCATGTATGTTTGACTGTATAGGATGGAAAACCATATTACTGAGCTTTTGTTGGATCATTGAATGGAACTGTCTGCAATCTCCCTGTATGAATGTCCACTTTATATGCTTTAATTTTATAATTTGGACAACTGTTTCTAAGATGACAATATGTAAGCTATTAACTAGTGATTTCTTACTGTATATTTTTTTCTTGAAATTCTGTTTTATTTGTACCCTTTTACTGCTTTGTTTTTTATTTCCTTTCTTTTTTCCCTTTAAATAAATAAATAAAAAAAAAGAATAGTCACTGATTGTCTGGTTGGGAAAGAGAGGAAGAGACAGAAAGGGAAGCATGAGACTGGTGAGGATGCCAAGTGAGACAGATGAAAAGGGACTCGTCACCATCACACCTCTCCCCAGCAGGGATTCACTAATTTAATGTGGAGGAAGAGGAAAGCAGGATGTTAGGACTAAGAAGGAGCTGGCCTCCTCTCTTTGCCCACAGTTGGGGAATCCTGTTCAGCGCTTAGAGCTTCACTGAACTTTTAGTTACTTTTCTCATTGCTGGGACAAAATATCTGAACCTCAAAGTTAGAGTGAAAAAGGTTTATTTAGCTCACAGTTTGTGGAGACTTCAATCCATTATTGCCTGGCTGTAAGGCCGGGCAGCATCACAGAGGCACTGTAGAGGAGAAACAATTTATAGCAGGCAGAAAGCAGCAAAGCCAAGCAAGGGACAACCACAACTCTTTCTGTCCCTTACATTTTATCAAGGCTACTTAGGGCAGGCAGCATTCACATTCTTTTTTTTTTTTTTTTAGCATTCACATTTTTAATCCTAGTGCCCTTGATCCTAGCATTGCATCATAAATCAATCCAAGTGTCACACACTTTAGATTCAGCCACCTCTGAAAAAGTCTCAGCTATGACCACATGAGGCTTTGGGAATATCTAGACACAAGCCTCAACAACCAATGTATCTATGTTCATATAATCATAAAATCATTCATTTGTCTTCTTCATTTTTTTCTTTCAACTTCATTCAGCAAATAGTGATTGAACAACTATGTTGTGCCAGGGAGAGGTACACACTTTGGAGGACAGAGGATGAGGTGGAGCAAGTGAGGTTTATCCCAGAGATCCTGGCCCCCACAGGCAGCTTGGGAGCAGTGTAGGTCAGAGCCAGATACCGAGACATCAGGAAGAAGCTGGGATTTTGTTGCAGCAGTGAGGCAGACTGCATGTGTTGTAGGGTGGTGAGAGGTTCTAGAGAACCTGCTCTGGAAGTCTCTGTGAAACCAAAAATGGTGGTGGTACACAGAGAACTTTGGAGGAACTTAAGGGGATGGGAGACACAGAGCACAGAACACCAAGTGATCTACTTTAGTTTGTTGTGGTGGTGGTGGTTGTTTTGTTTTTGAAACAGGATCTTGCTATGAAGCTCAGGCTGGCTTTGAACTCACTTTGTAGTCCAGGTTGGCCTCAAACTCATGGTGATCTTTCTGCTTCAGCCTCCCAAATGCTGGGATTACAGACATGTGCCATCACTGTCAGCTGCTTCAATTTTATCTATGTTTATTCATACTCCTGGTTAAAGTAGATAATACAATCAGCTCGATGTGATGGCCGACACTCATGATTCCAGCTGAGGCAGGAGGATCACTGCAAGTTCCAAGCCAACCTGGACTACCTAGTGAGTTGAAGGCCAGCCTGGACTATACAGAAAACCCTATCTCAAAAGCAAATAATCAAACAAAAAATAGATAATGCATATAAATGACTAGAGCAAATAGGTAGTGTGATCCAAAACTACAATGAATGTTTGAAGTGGCATAAGCACCTGCTTGGCAAACACATGGTCATGAGCTCAGTCCCTGGTACCAGAAAAAAAAATGTATTACAGTAGTCAGGAGTGTTGGTGCCCACTTGCAAGCCCAGCACTCAGGAGACAGAGGCAGGAGGATTGCCAGGAGTTCAAAGCCAATTTGAACTATATAGTAAGACCCTACCCTGTCTAAAAATTATTACAATAAAAGACATATTGCCATTAATCCACCTCTAGATACTCTCCCTCACCTTTAGCATACTATAATGTCTTTTGCAAATGGGACATGGGGTATCTGGTCTGTTATTTTATAAAGAGAAAAATTGTTGAGCTCAAAATAAAAGGAACAGCTGTTCACAGAGTGCACAAACAGACAAACATTGTGAAGGGAGTTCCCTGTTGGTCCGGGGCTGGGAAAGCACCTGCACCTGCCATCTGGTTTCCCGATGATTGACCTTGTTTATTAATAATGTTTTTGTTTTTGTTTTTTGAGACAAGATTTCACCAGATAGTCCAGACTGGCTTGAACTCAAAGTGGTCCTCTTGCCTCAGCCTCCCAAAGTCATACTGTTTTATTTGCCTTAAAGAGACTGAGGATATAGGTTGCTATTAGTGTTCTTGGCTTCAGTCCCTAATATAAAAATGTATTTTTGATCAGTAAGGATTTACAAGATTTGAAGGACATGACTAATCAACTTGATCTAATTGACTTATCTATACTCTATACCTAACATCTACAAAAAACTGCATTTTTTTTGTCTTTTTTATTTTTATCGGTACCAGGGATTGAACTCATGACCACCTGCTTGCAAGGCAGGTGCTTATGCCGCTGAGCTAAATCTCCAGCCCCAAAACTGCATTTTTTCAAGTGCACACAATACATTTACAATTTTTTTTGTCTTTTTCTTTTTTTATCGGTACTGGGGATCGAACTCATGACCACACACTTGCAAGGCAGGTGCTTATGCTGCTAAGCTAAATCCCCAGCCCCCACAAAATTTTGTTATATGTTGGGTTATAAAGAAGGTATTAACAACCAGGTGTGATGGTGTGGGCCAGTAATGTCAGCACTTTGGAAGGTTAAGGGAAGAGAATTGCAAGTTCAAATCTCAACTGGGCAATTTAGCAAGACTCTGTTTCAAAATAAATAAAAAGAGATGAGGATTTAATTCAGTATAGAGTGCTCCTGGGTTTAACCAACATATTTGAAGTCATTGTGTCCTGGGTTCAACTACCAATACCACAAAGAAAAAAAACCAACAAATTTAAAAGTTGGATGTGGTATCATAACCTGCAATCCCAGCACTTGGGAGGCTGAGGCAAGAGGATTCCCTTGAGTTTGAGGCCAGCTTGACTATATACAATAATCAGTTCAAGGCCAGCTTGAGCTACACAGTAAGACCCTGCCTCAAAAACAAACAAACAAGGCCAGCTATGGTACACCCCTATAATCCCAGGAGGCTGAGGCAAGAGGATAGACATGAGTTTGAGGCCAGTCTGAACTATATAGTGAGTTCAAGGCCAGCCTGAGTAGATAGGGAAACCCTGTATAAAAACAAACAAACAACATTTTCTCTGAGATCAGGAAGCGAGCAAGGATTTCCCTTATCACTCTGTCATCAGGTCTGCATTGTACTGGATATCGTAGTAAGGATACTAGGGCAATTAAAGGAAATAAAGGTATGAAGGCTAGAAAATAATTAAACTCATTATATTATATTATAAAATTATATATGTAGGAAAACCACTAGAATCTATAAACTATTGAATTAATAAGTTGCAAATTGGTAAATTTACAAGGTATTTTAATAATTTATGAAACTTATAAGGATGGACTAGGAGCTGCTGTAGGGTAAAGCACTTGCTTGGTATGTGTGAGGCTCTGGGTTCAATCTCCAGCACCAAAAAAAAAAAAAAAAAATACCCACAAGAACTATAAGGTGAAACTTTTTATTTATTTATTTAATTTATTGATTCTGGGACTCAAACTCAGGGCTTTGTACTATGCCGCTGAGCTATGTCCCTGGCTTGACAATGAAACTTTTAAAATACACATTTTATTTATTTATTTATTGGTGCTAGGGATTGAACTCATAACCTCTTGCTTGCCAGGCAGGTGCTTGCACATCTGAGCTAAACCTCCAGCCCCTAAAATACACATTTTAAAAAGATTTTTTTTAGAGCTGGGAGTCGTGGC